CCCAACTTTGGTGGGAGGTAGCTTTACTGTCGTTCGGTACAATACCACACTCAACGGCAGTGCGTCACTTCAAGTCATGGGGTTTAGATTACTGGTTTCCACCACTGAACGGCAATCCCTAGCGACTGATGTTCATCACACTATGCTGTGTAATAAAAAAAAGGTCCTGAAACATCGAAGAGACATTTTGGTCAGGTTCCAGTCGGTTTTGACTAAATTGACCGGGATGTGGCGATTTTGAATGACTTATCCAGTACAGCCCTGTTGACCCGCGGATCGTTTTCCCCTTCTCTCTCTCTCTCTGTGTATGTGTGCACAATCTCTCCGTTTTAGGCGATGCAGATGCGAACAATCGCAGCTGTGATGATGACCAGGGCGGTGGTCGACGTGATGGGGGCGCCGGTGGTAAAGTATCTGTCAACACTCGAGGTGGACGAAAGCCGTTTTTCAAAAAGGTACGTGTGAATCATCCTGTTGTTTCTGTTGTGTTCCCCTCCCACGTGGCCGACTGAGTTGATCCTCTGCCGGATTTCGAGGGTAACACGTGATCTGTTCTGATCTGATCTGATCTGCGGTGACTCTGTTTTAGCTAACTAAATCTGTCCCATTCAATTTTTCAATGCAGTTCATCAATTCGATCATGATGGTCAAATTCGACAAAACGGGGTCCAGGCGGCGGGTCTGGAGTTCAAACTGATGCCCTTTTATGAGAACGAAAATCGATTTTAATGCTTTTCGGTTGTATGGTTAACTGGATAAGATGAAGATGCCCCATGAAGGAGTTGGAATTATGGTTTTTAACAAAATCCGGTGGTTGATGTCTGTCAGCACTCTCTCGAACTCCCCAGATTCAGATTCGAACATCCCATTCGTTTTTTAGTGGTAGGCCCTAACCACAACTAACTTAGTTGTGGTTTAGGTTGTCCTCAAGAGTGAGTTCTGTCCCACACAAAAAGTCTAAATTTCACACCTACTTTTCTTTCCAACGGTGTCACAAGTGTCTGGACTGTGAATTGGCTATCATATCCCAAACCTCATCAATGGACGATCAATAGGATTTCGTTCCAGACACCACGTGCCGTTCACCTCAGCGGGTTCACCGGAAACAAGAAGATAGTCATCAAAAAAAAGAGGGCAACCATGCCCGTGCCAACAAGCAAAACAGAAATGATAATCTGTTGGTTTCATGTGATACGTTTACAATAATTTATCACATTCTGTGATCAATCAAAATCACCTGTGAATTATTTTTGTTTAACTTGGGAGAACATTCGCATAAACTCCTCGCCGCTTCTGTACATGTGCACACTTCAATCCAAATAGATTTTTTGTTTGTTTGTATTCAGAAAAATAACAAGTGTAGAATTAAAGAACAACCTAACTGTGCGTACATACTTTTCCAAGTATTCTGGTGTGATAAAAAAAAAATGACAACAAGGATGCCACTTCTGTCGGTCAGTTGCCGTATCCTTCACTGTCTCCAACCAGCCAGTTGCAAAGCCTTTTAGACCTAAACCTAGAAGACGGGAGACATGGGGACATGCGTAACACATGTCCCAACCAACGTAATCGATGTAAGTCGATCACTTGCTCCACTGGACGACCGCGGTTATCTAAAACTCTGCGTCTAACCTCAGCATTGCTCGTCCGGCTACCCCCACCAGATTCGTGCAACGCTGTATTGACAGCGATGTTCCAACATTGACAGTCTAACTTTATCCTGTTTTCTTAATGGCCAAGTTTCTGTGCCATATAGCAGAACTGGCCAAGCTGAAGCGAAATATACTCGAATCTGTGATATAAATAAACTTGTAAATGCTGGCATCAGGTTCGTTCAGTATCCCGCGGATTTGACCAGAGTGGATGGTGCTGGTGGTAATGATTAAGTAGTTGGAGTCGCTGTCATCCGAGAGTTTTGGGCCCTGGACTCGAATCCTATCACCTCCGCGATTTTGATATCGTCTGGCTCAAAACCATACCTAATCTAACGGTGTCTTAAGTGTTGCGCGTCTCCAAGTCCCAGAACTTGGATTGCTGGTTCCATGAATCGACTACAGGTCCTCTTGATTGTGGGGTTTGCCCTATCTACTATCGGTCGCACACGGTTGTGTGCGAAAAAGTGCTTGAGTTGTTAATGTTCTGACTGATCTCTTACGAATAGCCAGCCGGTGGACCAACCTAAGTTAAGTTTTTCAACAAACGCGTCGTTGTGTATCGTATATAACTGCCATTGCAGGTGAATCGTCATGAAATTAGCTGTCATGCGTGTTGAGGTCTTTTTGTTCAACCCTTGAATGAATCGGTCTCTCGAATTTATAAACAACCGAAAAAATGCTGTTTTTCATAAACGGATTTCCCAACAATCCGTTTCTTTCGATTCAAATTATTATTATGTACACTTCCTTCGCACTCAGCTACTTTGAAAAAATGCCTTAAATTTCTCTTCCGAGTATCCAAGATACAAAAGATTAGACGTAACTATTTGATCATTTCGGTTCGCTGATTATGCTTTTCGGACTGCCAAAAGGAGGATCTCATGTGAGCACTACTGTAGAAAGAAGAATTTTCTTACACTCCTTCTAATTTACAAAATCCCGCGAACTGTCTAATGTGAAACTTATATATATATATATATATATATATATATATATATATATATATATATATATCGAGA